TACCAGGGACAGTTCCCTCAAAACGTTTTGCCTAGACAAAATTAATTTTAAGTATTTATTCATGACTTCATACCAGTATTATTTAAAGTATATATTGTTTTAATAAACCATTTTTATAAATTATTTTGTTTTTATGTTAAATGGTAGTCTGGATATTGCAGTCTGGGCTAGATGGTGGATGTTTTTATTTTTGAGGGTGTGTTGTTTATTACTTTAATTATCGAAATTTAATAATCAATAAACAATACAAGGAACCTTGAGGAAATCCCAAAACAAACCTGCTTATCTTAAAATATTCATAATTTATCTATTTGAGAAAAAAACAAAACGCTTGTCAATAAAAACAAATATGTACTTCAAATTACGTACTATGCTCCACACCTCAAAGTCCCACCACGTGACCACGTACGGAACGCAGTCTTTTGTATCTGTCAAAGTATAGTCAATGAAAGAAATAATATTTATAGTGTTACCGCTTATGTTTAAGCCTTAAAAGTTAATAAATTTTTATAGTATCACAATAACAATGGTTGGTTTAAGAATTTAGGAATATAAATACTGCATTTAATGATATTCCAAAGTGTAAGGTGCAATATGAGTGATATTTTTGTGCATTGGGTCTACATTTCTCCATAAAATAGTTTTAACTAAACAGCATTTATTAATAAAATGTACCTATTAGAACATCATATCATCTAATTTTGTATTTTAAGGTTAGAAAAATCTATTTTGACTAAAATAAATAAGTGGATTATTTGCAAGAGTGTGTTAATATGGTCATAAATAAATATAGGTATACTAAATAATTGTTGAATATGGTTCAAATTAAATTGAAGCTTTTATACTTCTAACGACAAAACTTGTGCATACCTTTTGGCATACCTACTTTAAGTTGAATTATAAGAAAACAAACAATTTCTAGAGAAACTTGCAATGTGAAAATATTTAATACTCTCATGACATGTGATTTATTAAAATATTAAAGTTATAATGATTTTTCGATGTAGATCAAATTCAGTCGAAGCTTTTTAACTATTTATTTGTATTGACAAAACTTTATGTAGGTTCACTTTAAGCTGATTAAGAAAAACTACCCATTATTAAATACCATATTATACAGTCTTTTAAATAATCCAAAATACTTATTTATTTTGGTCAAAATAAATTTTTCTAACCTTAAAATTACAAAATTAGATGATATTTTTGTTATAATAAATTAACCTACCTTAAAAACACATATTCTTATTCCATAATAGAGAAGCTAGATTTTTTTTAATAAATGCTGTTTAATTAAAATTATTTTATGGAGAAAACCAGATATTTGGACCCAATTCACAAAAATTTTACTTATTTGGCACCATACACTTTAGAATTTCATTAAATGCAGTATTTATATTCTTAAATTCTTAAACCATCCATTGTTATTGTAATGTTATAAAGATTTATACATTTTTAACGTCTAAACATAATATTATTTCTTTCGTTGACTATACTTTGACAGATACATAACCTGAAAAGCCTTAAATGCCAAATTTTCAAAAGACTGCGTTCCGTACGTGGTCACGTGGTGGGACTTTGAGGTGTGGAACATAGTACATAAAATTTAAAGGACTTTTAAAATGACAGGATTTTTGGCTATAGCCATAGATCAAGTAGCACAACTGGTTAAATAACTAACATTCTAAATTGTGGTTAATTTACTTAGAATTTTTAAGTAAATTAACCACAGCTTTGGTTAATTTGGATATATTTTTTTAACCAGCAAGTTATATTTTACCAAATATATTTAAACTTGCTGGTAAATGAACGTTAAATAATAAATCTACAAATCTTTAAACAGTTCCCTCACATTTAATTAATTTGGTAAGCATCTAGGGTGGGCCGAATAATAAATAAATTTTGGCAAAACAAAAATAATTTATAATTTGTTTTGTTGTTGTTTTCCCCCTGCCAGGGCTCAAAATTTTGAAAAAAATATGATAATGCAAAGATAATTTTTATTTGCAATTTTTATATGGTGATAAACTTTAGTTAGGTTAGGTTAGGGTAGGATGTGACGTCGCACAGTGTTTCAATTCTGGAAAATATCGGCAAAGCCATAAAAATTGACTTTTTTTTTCAGGTAAATTTTGAGTTAGATGGGTAGTTAGTTAATACCTGTCTCCATCCTGTATTGAAAAAAAAAAATATATAAAATACGTATATTTTGTCTTGTATATCAGTTTAAACTTGACGCTTTCAGTTGAAGGTACTTTACACGCGATCGCTGCGGAAAATTGTTTATTTTTTAAAAGTGAATAACTTGTGTTTGGCGTTTTCGATTGTTATGCGGTTTGATGAAGGGTGATCTTCAAGGTATCTAAAATTCAGATATGTATTTGTTTTTCGTAGATTTTGCTTGTACAACGGGTTATTGTAACCGACAAGATCGGTATGTTAAAATCGCAAACTTTGAATCGAGCTTTTAGAACAATGGAGCTACAAAAATTGTAATGAATTGTAAGGCATCAGTTCAAGATCCGTTGAATAGCTTAGAGTTTTGCCTATCAAGCCATCAATAAATTAGCTGCCCCAATTTGCCCCTGGCTCTTTAAAACTACATGTTCTTGGGCGCTCAGGCACGGTTGTGATAAAAAACCTCGCGATTTTAAGCCTATGTCGAGCGCGTATCTTTGTTTTTGCTTTACAAAATGTAAGATTTTTTTATATTTCTGGGTTGCGTTCATGACGTTTACTCGATTCACTCGGATTTAACTCAAAACGTTTATTACAACAGCGGTGTCTAGATTTTCACTTGCGTAAATCGTTCGTGACTACTAAGATATTTAACACTGATTTTACATATTTAACCCACCTCTTGTAGGTGCGTTAAAACAACTCCGCATGCGCATTGTAGAGTGTGAATGTCAAATTTGTGGTTATTTGTGTTGACAATTTTTTTAACGAATTAAGAAATCGTTGTCAAAATATTAAGTAAAAGAAATAATACAAATTTAAAATACTTAGTATAAAATCTGTTATATTAAATTTTATAAATAAATTTTCTCGGGAGATCCGTATATTTCTAGCTTCACAAAAATTGCTCAGAAAAAGAGCAAATCTTTGTCCCGCGAAGCAATAAAACTGTTGCTATCTTCTAATGGTTTCCCATGCTCTGCTAATGATACAACGAGCGAATCCAGTGACGGAGATTGTTTAATATATATGTAGGTATTAAATAATATCATATAAATGTAATTATAATAAACTAAATTAAGCTATTTTATAAAAAGATGTTTTATTACATTTTAAAAAGAACCTCTTACGGATTTTTAATTAATTTCGACAATATTTGATAAAAATGTCCGCCATTTGAGGTCTACCATTTTTAATTTTGGAATTCTAATTCCAGATTCATTATCAGCGACCACAAAAACCCCTGTATGGTGATTTTCAATTAATTCCGTCAATTTTTTGACAAATATGTCCGCCATTTTGGATCTACCATTTTGAATTTTGACATTCTGATTCCAGATTCGTTATCAGCGACCCCAAAAACCCTGTATGGTGATTTTCAATTTATTCCGTCAATTTTTTGACAAATATGTCCGCCATTTTGGATCTACCATTTTGAATTTTGACATTCTGATTCCAGATTCGTTATCAGCGACCCCAAAAACCTTTATATACGGATTTTTAGGAGAATCCGTCTACTTCTTGATATTTTGCCGAAAATTTCGAGAATTGAAACACTGTGCGTCGCCAATACGGGTCTGGAGTTATAACAAACTGCGGATTTCCAATATTGGTTATATAATGTCAAACAACTTTGGGCCAATGTTGGGTTTTAATATTGGATCATGCTAGAACAAATCTGACGAAAGATATATTGGCCCAATATTATTACGAATATTGGGCCAATATCTCTGTGGTACTGGGGAATGGTTTAGGGCCATTCCACGCTTAACGGATAGGACAGCCGCCGTGTTTTTATTTACAAAATAATATTGTTCCACCATATTACCAATGTCAAATTTTTATAAATAGCTCTAAACAAAAGCTGTTTAACAAGGTTTTTATTTGGCAAAATTAGGTATCGTGATTGACTGTCCAATTCCTTAAAAATTAATAATTTAAAGCGTAACGGTCGGGACTATTGCAAAGTCCCGACCGTTACGCTTTAAATTATTAGTTTTTAAGGAATTGGACAGTCAATCACGATACCCAATTTTGCCAAATAAAAACCTTGTTAAACAGCTCCAGTTTAGAACCATTTATAAAAATTTGACATTGGCAATACAATAGAACAACATTATTTTGTAAATAAAAACACGGCAACTATCCCATCCGTCACGCGTGGAATGGCTCTTTATTTGCTAGCTTCCTATGACGAACTACCACTAAGACATCTCTTTAAATATCTTGACGGTAAAAAAACAGACCCTGACGCTTTTTCAGGTGTTTTAGGCAAGTAAATAGAGCAGTTCGAAAAACTGGCTCTTGCAGATTATAAAATAATAATCTGCGAATTACTTAATGTCGACTTTAATGATGAAGTTCGGATCAAAAATTTATATACTTAAAAACCACATTGGAGCATAAACCTTTAACATAAAATTGGCTAGTTCTTTTAAATTTGGTGTGAGATCTTTTTTTAAAATATAAAAGCGCAAAAGACAATTTGCTCAGCCATCGGAAATGGTTTAATTTTCATAGATTACCGTTTAATAAATCGGCTGGACATTAACCAGAAGACATGACAAGACCATTTTTGATGTCCTCGTTAAAGGAATAAAAATTAATATAATTAACTTTAAATTAATTTATTTATCTTTATGATACAATCTTCTAAGAAAATACATGGTAATGCTTAAATTCTTCAATGGAATGGACTAATTCGTAATACTTCTTTGGCAAAATATTTGAACAACGGTATTAAAATGGATGAAGAATGGGGTATTAGAATAAATCTAAAGGCCATAGCTTCACAAGGTGGACAAAAAAAATATTTTCCTCCTTCGTCATTTTGGCCTCAAAACATTGTTGACAAAATGGCCTCCCACGTTGCCTCTAGGATTGTAGTTCGCGATGACGTAGGTCTGGCCTTTCTGATTTTTCGCCACACCGACGCCGAGTTCCTTGGACTCCTTCCACACCACCTGCGTGAAGTGCAGGGCTTTCTGGTTGATGGACTCCTTCGCGTAGTTCGTGTAATGTTTGCCCTCGTCGTACCACTCTTTCACAGCGTCTCTTGCCGACGGCACGTGGCTGAAATCCGAAGAGTAGACGCTGAAAATGTTCTCGCCGTATTTGTTGTTGGCTCGGTGAGTCAGGCTCGACTTTTTGGCTAGCGTTTCGGCCCATTCTTGGGCGTAATCAGACATCTAACAACAAACAATTTTAGCTGCAATAATTTTACTATAACTGTTTCGATCTTGGTACCTCTTTGTTTAGAACTAACTCAGCCACGCCATGTTTTCGTCTGTACTCGTTATGAACGCTCAGCGCTTCAGCAGCGAATTTTTCTTTATCAATTGCACCAGCGGGTTTATGTTTAGGTTTTTCAGCCATACCAACGTTAGCAAGGTACTCTTTTTGGTAATTTCCTGGCGGAAAGTAATTCGCCACTACGTATATGGTACCATCTTCCGATTTTGACACACCGACACCTAAAAGTTTAACAATGATTTATTAATGTATACGATTTGACCATTGATACTCAATGATTTGACAATGAATTTTGACTAATATACAGTGTGTTCAAGCCCCTTATGTCAAACAATAACCACCCAAGTTTTATTTACCTAAAGTTTTGGTACTCTTCCAAACAACCTGCGTAAAATGCAGCGAACTAAACTCAGTAGGTTCCCTAGTAAAATCGTGTAAATGGACTTCATCATACCAAGAATCTACAGGATTGTAGCCAGTGATGGTGAAAGTAGGGTCTGATGAAGATATCGTGTAAATATTCTCTCCATATTTTTCATTTGAACTCGTTTCGAACGTATTCGTAGCAGCTAAATGGTTTGCCCAAATTTGGCTTTCAATGCAAATTTCTTCGTCCAGTGACAAAGGTTGACTTCCATGGAGTTTTCTGTAGATGTTATGAGCTTTTAGAAAGTCTTCCCTAAAGTTTCCTGAAAAAAAATGTTTGTTGTTAAAGTAGGAGAGTGAGTTAAAGAAAGTCACCTTCAGTTCCAATCAAGGATAGAATAAAATCTTCTTTTGCTGATGAGTCTGTATTGGGAATACTTTTTAATGGAGGAGGTACGTTTTCGACATAAAACCCGACAAAATTACCAGCTGGGGAATAATTGGCCACAACGTAAATTTTGTTGTTGTTCTTTGCCACTCCAACCCCTAAAACATTCAAGCTTAACCTAAATCTACTTGTACTATGCTCCACACCTAAAAGTCCCACCACGTGACCACGTACGGAACGCAATCTTTTGAAAATTTGGCATTTAAGGCTTTTCAGGTTATGTATCTGTCAAAGTAAAGTCAATGAAAGAAATAATATTTATAGTGTTACCGCTTATGTTTAAGCGTTAAAAGTTAATAAATCTTTATAGTATCACAATAACAATGGTTGGTTTAAGAATTTAGGAATATAAATACTGCATTTAATGAAATTGTAAAGTGTTTGGTGCCAAATAAGTGATATTTTTGTGCATTGGGTCTACATTTCTCCATAAAATAGTTTTAACTAAAACATTTATTACAAAAAACTTCTCTATTATAGAATAAGAATATCTGTATCAAAGGTAGGTTAATGTATTAGAACAAAAAATGTCATGAAATTTTGTATTTTAAGGTTAGAAAAATCTATTTTGACCAAAATAAATAAGTGGATTATTTGGAAGAGTGTGTTGATATGGTCATAAATAAATATAGGTATACTTAATAATTGTTGAATATAGTTCAAATTAAATTGAAGCTTTTATTTCTAAAGACAAAACTTGTGCATACCTCTCGGCATACCAACTTTAAGTTAGATTATAAGAAAACAAACAATTTTTAGAGAAACTTGCAATGTGAAAATATTTAATACTCCCATGACATGTGATTTATTAAAATTTTTAAAGTTATAATGATTTTTTGATGTAGATCAAATTCAGTCAAAGCTTTTTTACTATTTGTATTGACAAAACTTTATGTAGGTACACTTTAAGCTGGATAAGAAAAACTACCACATTTTTAAATACCATATTATAGAGTCTTTTAAATAATCCAAAATACTTATTTATTTTTGTCAAAATAAATTTTTCTAACCTTAAAATTTCAAAATTGGATGATATTTTTGTTATAATATATTAACCTACCTTTAATACAGATATTCTTATTCCATAATAGAGAAGCTAGATTTTTTTAAATAAATGCTGTTTAGTTAAAATTATTTTATGGAGAAAAGATATTTGGACCAAATGCACAAAAATATTACTTATTTGGCACCATACACTTTAGAATTTCATTAAATGCAGTATTTATGTTCCTAAATTCTTAAACCAACCATTGTTATTGTAATGTTATAAAGATGTATACATTTTTAACGCCTAAACATAATGTTATTTCTTTTGTTGACTATACTTTGACAGATACATAACCTGAAAAGCCTTAAATGCCAAATTTTCAAAAGACTGCGTTCCGTACGTGGTCACGTGGTGGGACTTTGAGGTGTGGAGCATAGTACAAATATTTCTTCTCACCCAAATATTCACTCGACTTCCATATGACCTGGGTGAAATGCCCGCCTTTCTTCAAATTCTTGGGCTCCTTACCAAACGGATAGTTTTTCATATCGTTGTACCAATGCACAACAGGTTCCTCCCCTTTAATGCAAAACTTTGCTTCTGTCGAGCAAACGCTGAAAATGTTTTCCCCATAGTTACTCTCAGGCCGATGTTGTAGCACATTTTTGGTCGCCAGATACTCGGCCCAGGTTTCAGAGTATTTACAGAGCTTTCTGTCGAGTTTTAAAGGTGGTACTCCGTGGAGTTTTCGGAGTTCATTGTGTTTGTTAAGGAAGTCGACTTCAAAGTTTTCCGCTGTACCTTTCTTAAGGTTACTTTTGATGCAAGGTGGAGGCATGTTGTTTTCCACTGTATATGTGTTGTTATTTTCGGAGATAAATGATGGCACGTTGTCGGAAAATTGTCCTATAAAGTTCCCAGGCGGTTCATAGTTGGTTACCACAATAATTTTACCCCCGGACTTGGCAAAACCCACCCCTAACTCTCTACTGTCCTTCCACACGACCTGCGTGAAATGTCCAGTCTTTAAGTCTTTTGGTTCCACGCCAAACTGGTGGTTTTGAATCTCGCTGTACCAAGTTTCAACCACTTCCTTGCCTGATATGTTGAAGTTTGAGTCGGTAGACTGACAACTGTAAATGTTCTCCCCCAAATCTCGGTTATTGCTTTGCTGGGGGGCGTTTCTCCGTATCAAAACATCAGCCCATTGCTGACTTATCTTGCATATATCCTTGTTTAGTTTCAAAGGCTTGCAGCCATGTTTCAGTCTGCATTCATTGTGTGCCTTCAAGCATTCCAACGTGAAGTTCATTTTTGGATTCTTATTCTGAAAATGAGCATTAGAAGAATTATGTTTTACATGTAAACTTTTGACTTACCACTGTCTTTTTGTTTTGTTGTAAAACGGCTTTGAGCACATCGGGAGGGCATTTGTTATCACAGTCCTTTTTCTCAGTAGTCACTTTGTATTCAGTTCTTTGGCCTCTAAATGTTTCTATTGTTTCTCTCGTCACCGTCTCCAGTGTTGGTTCCTTTAAATATTAAAAGTCTACTATACTGTTTTGGTTCATAATATTTGTTTAATTGACTGATTGTATTAATTGTGTATAAAATTAGTGTGTTTTTGAAGATATGGTTTATCTAATCTGGGATTGTTATTTTTAGAAGTTGGTCATTTTTGGGTTTATTTATAGTTTTTTTCTACTCCTACTGCATAAGATTGACATTATTTGTTTTTTTCATAGAGTTGTTAGGCACTTTGATGTCAGATTTTTTTTATATTGTTCATTAAAATTTGGAAGAAAGTGAGTTTATAATAATTTTTAGGTTAGGTTCAATTGACATGATGACTTTTACCTTTTAATTTTGTACTGAGGTTTATAATAATTTGACTTTTGAACTAGTATTAATATAAAAATTTTCTATACAGACAAAGAGTTTTATAATATTAAAATTATTATACTCTTGAAACAAATAGTATATTATTATACGAAAGATAATGTGCATAATCTTGACTGTTATAATATAGGTACTTTAAATGATTTTTAAAAATAAATAAATAAAATCTGACATATGTCAAAAGGTTAACCTCACTTTATACAAATTTTGAATGTTATTATAGTCGCCTTCTCTCAATTTAAAACCCGATTGGTTCAAATCATAGTGAATATTGAAATCGGCCAATCACTGATGCCTAACAACGTGAATAATGAGTTCATTATTCCCGTTGTTAGGCAGGAAATTTATAATGTATATTTTTAGATGATCCTTTTTAATTTAGTTTTTACATTTTAACATTGCAATGAAAATTATTCAGAAAAAAAATACATGATAAAAGGGCAATGAAATAAAAAAGTTCTAAAATTGTAATAAATTTAAAAAATAGAAAATTAAAATGACGAATACAATATCAAAATTATAAAAAATCTGGGGAAATCAAATCGTTATATGACATACATATGTACGAGTATGTTAAAAATTACACACGACAGATGTGAAAAATTTCAGATAACAGATGTCAAATAATAGATGTCAGATAATAGATGTCAATAATGATAGACGTCAAATATGACAGGTGACAGATGTTAAATTTGACAAAAACAATGTCAAAAATGATAGAAGTGAAAAAATGACAGACGAGAGCCGTAAAAAATAATTTGAATTATTCTGATTTTGAATCAAATATCGAATATTCAGAAAAAAAATAAAAAATGCAACAAAATATAAAAAAAAAATAATTTTAAATATTTAAAAAATAACTTGAAAATATAATATTTAATTTTTTTTTAACTGGATCAAATATTTAATAAAAGCATTTATTTATGCTTTTATTAAATATTTGATCCAGTTAAAAAAAAATTATAAGTACATACCAAAACAAGGTAAATAAAATTATTAAGTTATTAAAATTAAACTTTTGTTTAATTTTAATAACTTAATAATTTGTACAAATGCAAACAATATTTAAACAGGGTGTCCCAAAAATGGCGCACAAACGGTTAGGGGAGTATTTTTTATATACCAAAAATTCAAACAAAAAAATTACAAGTAGTTTTAAAACCTTGGCAACGCTACCGGCAACCGACAAGAAAACAAAATAACGCATCTGCTGCGATCTGATCTTTTATTTTTGAAAAATCTTTAGGAAATTGTTTTGTACCCTTCTATAAACAAATATTTTTAATTGTAATTTTTTTTAATCATAATTAACTTTTTCGTGGCCCTTTTTTGGAACATTTGATAATTAATAGTAGATATCTAAATGGTAAAAAAGCAAAAAAAAAATTAAAATAAAATAAAAAAATGGAAAATTTAAACGTACAAATGCGAATATCAAAATTATATAAAAATTTGGGGAAATCAAATCAAATAGTAATATTCATATAGTTGAAATACACGAGTGACATACATATGTACGAGTATGTCAAAAATGACATAATAGACGTCAAAAATAAGACGAGAGCTGTCAAAAATAATTTAAATTATTGGGATTTTGAATCGAATATTTAAATAATTACCTATTTACCCTTTACGAATATTCGAACTATTCGATTTTAGTCGTCCCACCCAGAAAAAAAATTTAAAATATTAAATGGAAAATTGACTATATCTCAAAAACTGTTCTACTTTTTAACTTTTGAAGACATTTTCAGATTCAGGGGACAATTTTACATAAGAATTGGCTGTTCAATTTTGGGATACCATGATATTTCATGATTAACCATGGTACAAGTGAAAAAGCAGCCACTAATAACTTTTAAATTAGTCACTTTTGACTAATTCATTTTAAGAGAGAAGGTAAATAAAGTTATTAATAGTTTATTTATATATCAAGTTTAATAAATGCCTTTTTAGTTACGAGTTTAATTAGGCACGAGCGAAGCTTGCAAGCGAGTGTTTAATAAAAACTGGTGTCTAGAGAAGTTTACTGTACTTTATCTACGACGAACACAAAAATTAATTTAAAATTTAATTTGTTAAACATTTGACATCTGAAATTTTTATTTTTGAAAAATCTTTAGAAAACTGTTTTTTACCTTTTTATAAACAAATCCAAAAAAAATTAAAATTAAGTTATTTACAACAATAAAAAACTTAAATCTTGTTACTTATTTTGCAGATAAAATATTTTCAGTTACCATATGAACAAGTTTTTCAAAATATATATATTTTTTTACCATTACTGTTTAGAATGGTTTTTTTGCCATTTACTTAAAATATTCTTCAAAGGAGATGGCCGCTTTTGAAATTAGACGACGACGAAAATGTTTTTAATACACTAGGAAAAATTTATAATTTATTTTTAATCATAATTTAAACTTTTTCGTGATCCTTTTTTGGAAGATTCGGTATTTAATTGTAGATATATAAATAGTAAGAAAGCAAAATAAAAAAAAATTTAAAAAAAATAGTAATATGTTTGCCCTTACCTCGCCATTCTTAATGGAAGCAAAGGTCCTCTGATCAGTCTTTCTAACCATCACAATCCTGCTGGACCCGTCATGCCCGTGAGCGGTTTTCCTGAACCTGTGCAGATTCGCCAACGACTCGGGATACTGGGGCCTCCTCCTGCACAAAGACATTTGCATTTGAACACCCCCGTACAACTCAAAGTCTATCAAAAAGTCCTCCAAACTCATTTTACTTTCCCGTGATATACCGCTCGTAACCTAAACTTAATACTAATAGAGTGCTAGCGAGCCGAGGTGCACCTTTCCAACGTTTGTTCCGTTTTAGCGACCAAGTGTAACAAAAATCGAGACGATTACCGCGTCGCGGTTTGCAGCAATTCCATTAGATACCCGTAGCTTTGCTTTGTCGGCATTATACCTGTTTTTTCGGTAATTTGATGCGGTAGATTGGCCACACTTTGTACAATTAAAATTAAGATCGTTCATTGAGATCGGACAGGAGGATCCAAAGGAATTAGTACTACTAATTTTGAAATTTTACACAATAAAAAAATATTTGTTAATTTTTACAAAATATTAACCAGATTTTATGTTAATCCATGTAGTAGTACTGATAATTATATTGTACCAAATTTCTTTATAATTTGATGATTTCAGAATGGCGTGGTATTTAATTGTGTAAATATTATTTTTGTGTTCATTTATGTAGGTAGGAGGTGTGTTCAGAAAATATCGGGAATTTTCGTTTTTTGAAACAAATATTTATTTATTCGTCTACATTAATGTTGTCGCCTTCAAAATAGTCCCCATTGGATATTATGCACATGTGCCAGCTCTTCTTCCAATAGTTCTTTCAGCGATGCGCTTTTAATGTCATCTATGTCTGTGTCTAAATTTCATGGGATGAGCCAATCGATATACCAACATCATCAGCGACTTCTCTGATGGTTTATATCTATTTCTTCCACTTTTTCCATGTTTTTATCGGTTGTTAATGTGCTTGTGCGTTCGGGGCGTTCGTCATCTTCAAAGTCTTCACGGCCATCTTGGAAACTCTTGTTTTACTTATAGCAGACTCACTATAGGCCTTTGTTAATATTTCACAGAATTTATTTTATTTTTTAAGCAAAATTGGATACAAATTCTTTGATCCATTTCTTTTAACGAACGAAAAATCGCCGAGCTCATAAAACACGTCTAACCTTAGCGGCTGCCACAGACAAAGTAAACAATGAAAACAGCTAAAGTTTTTATCATACTTCGGGGGCATGTATACCAACATAATAAAGAAAATTTTATGACAACCGGACCCTCCGAACCCGCGAAATTTAACAATTCCCGTTATTTTCTGAACACACCTCGTATGTGTTAATTTTTTGTAAGTTCCCAATTTCCAACAAATACTTTTGTTACTGGGTCTTCAAAAATGTTTGTAAAAATAAGGTCCTTTTTGAAAATTACAAGAATTATGGTTGAATTATTCACTGTTAAAATTTTCTATTTTAATTTTACTAAACATGATTAGGAAGTTTTTACGCACCACAATATAGTAATAATAAAACTCAGTTTTGTAAATTCACAACACGATTTATTACAACTCAATTTGCGGGGCGGACTGTTGACATTGGGGGCCCTGGGTTAAAAATCTTTGGAGGCCATATATACAATAGTTATATAAATAAAATATTTAAGCATTTATACAAGGGGTCTAGAGAAGACCTTTACAATCGTTATGAAAGGCCACATATTTCTTGGTTTAAAATAATTTGACTTAACCCAACTTACCTAAATAAAAATTTATTTGTTTAGCTGCCAGCGGCAGAAATATATACTGCAGTATATTACACTGATTAACAAAAATCGACTATTTTTTTATATAAAATTTTATAGCCTTATGAGCCTATTAAATTAATATTATTGGTTGCTAATCGCGATTTTATATTTAAATTGAGTAAGTAAATGAGATTTTTTATTTTGGAATTATATAACTCGTTAACGGATTAATGGACTAAAGAAAAACTATTTTAGAAAATTAAAATAAAGTTCATTTATTATTATATGATAAATTTTTCTCGTTAAAAAGTTATTTAAGACTTAAGACAAATTCATAGCAAATTTTAAGTTTTTCTTACTTTCCCGGTAAAACCATCAGACTTGTTACAAAATGTTAACAAAGATCATACATTTTTTGTAGATCATTTTATTTTCTATAAAAATTAGTCATTATTTTTTTAAATTTTTTATTTATGATTTACTGGTTTTACCAGTATAAATACAAATATTTTCTGCAATAAAATTGATTTTTTCTTGAAATTACAAAATAACACAATTTAAAAAAAAATGATCAACCAAAATCACATAACTTTTTGTTATAAGCCTGATAGTTTTAGCGAAAAAGTGAGAAAACTTGAAATTTACTTTAAATGTAATTTTAAGCTTAAATAACTTTTGAACAAGTATAATTATTTTAAAATAATAAGATACTTCTTTGTAGAGCGTTTACTTTAAATGATATAATAAAATTATATTTTTTAAATATGTTGAATAAGTCCCTTATTCCGTTAAAAAGATCTCAAGTTAATTTTTTTCTATGCTATTTAAATGAAAATAGAAAATATTATTAAGAGCTAAAATTTTAACAGGCTCAATATTTTACCTTTATGCAACTATTAAATAGTTGATTTTTTAATCAGTCTAATTTATATTTTAAAAAAAATATTTGCACAGCCTAGGGAGCCCTCGATAAAACGTTTGTTAAAATTCACTAAGCATTTATTAAAAATGTGTTCAGTAACATTACTATACTACAAAAAAATACTAAATATGTTTGGTAATTTTAAAATGGTGTATTGTAATTATACTATATATACAATTAATTTCAACTCAGTTTAAGAAAATAACAAAATATATTTTACAATTTTACTGAAACTGTCAAACTTTTTAGTAAAGTTACAATGCGTGTAGGATCTATACATATAGATTGTAAAATTACTTATCTTAGTAGATTTCCCAACATGTCTTGGAAGATTACTCAAATTGTATTTTAATTTTGTATTGGTATGCACTGATTTGTAATTTTACTTATCCTTTGTTTTGCAAAACAATTGTAATTTTACAAAAAACAGTGTATATGATTAAAATGATATATAGTAAAAATGCAAACAGAAGTTGTATAAAATAAATAATGATTTGTATTTTTCCAAACACTTATTGTAATTCAAATAGCAAATTTTGGTTAGTAATTTTATTGATTATCTTAGTAAAATTAAATTCCGAATATGTATAGAAATTTTGCAAAATTTCAAATTCAATTCTACAATACAGAATTCTAAAATTACTATAAGAATCTGACAAAAACAAAAACATTGTAAAATTGAAACCTGTTTAGTATACTAAGTATACTTTGGCCATAACAAAATGTAATATTACAACAAATGCGTACCTATTAAAATTGCAATACAATATATTAAATCATACATCAACACCATTAAAAATGTTTGTAAAATTACTACATTTTTATTAAGCAGTTGCATAGTAAAATAACAAAATGTTGTATTGTATTGCAATTTTAATACGCATTTGTTGTAATATTACATTTTGTTATAGTGTATACACTATAACAAAATGTAATATTACAACAAATGCGTATTAAAATTGCAATACAATACAACATTTTGTTATTTTACTATGCAACTGCTTAATAAAAATGTAGTAATTTTACAAACATTTTTAATGGTGTTGATGTATGATTTTGTTAATAAATCTACAAAATGTTTGTTATAATTACAAACCACTTATTCAATAAGTTAACAGATTACAGTTAGATGTAAACTTAACATAAGTTATGTCAACCTAAATTAACATAAAATATGTATAAAGGTACGGATTCGTTGATGCGACTCGCGGCTGCGGCTTGCGGCTGCGACCTTAGCCGCGCCACTGCTTAGTACAATTTGTGTGTATACGTTTTGGTTGGCGCGTTCAGTCGCAGTCTGCGACTGAACGCGTCAACCAAAACATATACAAACAAATTGTACTAAGCAGTGGAGCGGCTACGATCGCAGCCGCGAGTCGCAGCCGTGAGTCGCATCAACGAAACTGTACCTTTACTAGATAAAAACAAACATTGTTTTTTGAGTTTCAAGAATTTATTTCAATTTTATTTTGACAATTGTTTCGCTTCTTCAGAAATGATTTCAAACTTTTTCTAATAACAAACTTATATAACCCAGCACATTGTAGTTGTTAGACTCCGGATTTCGTATCTTTCTTAGTTTTATCTTTGTTGTTTCTTATAAATGTACTCAAATTGTTGTTGGTTTTAAATGCAATAGATATATTATGTTTTTTGGTATCTGGTAATTTCGAAGTGCCATCATACCAACTTAAAATAACTAGAAGTAAAAAACGAAAAGAAATCATTTCCTTTTTAATTTAAATTGCTAAATGATTACCTCGGTAAATTTCGTTAGATTTGCTCTGCTTGCTTAACTGATGCTTTCCAAGAAACCGTGTTAATTAGGTTTAAGATCCTCGAGCTTTAATGGTATTGTTTCGGATCAAAAAAATTAGTGGTAACTTTTGCGTGACAGCGTTGAACGCAACTCTCTCGCCAGCCGAAGCGTTTTCTACGGTTTTCCATGGCTACGCTGATTACTTTTCAGGTTAAAACAATGCCTAGCCACCTTTAAAATACACATGGTGTTTGTAAAATAGGGTGGCAATATTTTAAGCAAAAAAAATTAACAGTAGTACTTGGTGTAAAACGTGAATCAATCAATTGTTCGAGGAAAAAATATTTATTGTAAAATGCTATGGGTTGGGACAAATTAGCTACAAATGCGAAAAAAATGTCAAGCATTATAATGTCTATAGATTAATATTTTTTTGGTATATTACACCAATCTTAAAGTTAATCCGGGGACACACTGTATGTGATTCGCAATTTACAGTACTAATGATATTGTTATTATTATAATTTATACTTTGCTTAAATGCTCCACTGCCTACTAATTAGTTATACCTACGTTGGCAACTGTTTTGTGTGTATTATTTTGTTTTTATATCAATGGAAATTATTTATGCATATACACTGTTATAAAAATTAGATTTATTAACTTGAATTTGTAGTTTTTAATTTTATTTTGTAAAATTTCAACA